TATTAAAAATGCATAAGTCATTGCCTTGGTATGGCAAGAGTTTACAGATGACATGAGATGTAAATAGCAACCGCGTTATGGAGGATGATCAGATACTTATTTTAATTTTATTAATTTGTGTTATGTCACTCAAATAGCATGCCGGCAGCCAGGCAACAGACCAAACACTTGATTAATATTAGCCTATATAAGTAAAAAAAAAAAGGATATGTTTACATACATAGAAGTTTTGAAGTTACAGTAGCAAAAATATATTATATATTTGCGATTCTTTTAAAATCTTTAAAATGACAAACTGGTGGAGATTGGTGGCCTATAAGATGGCATTACATATAAGAGTCTCTACTTTTGAAAATGCATGTGATTATCAATATCATTAATCAGCAGCTTCTCTCTTCTCTGTGTGTGTACCGTATTTGAATTATCTGGTTGATTAGCTCCTTGCACTTCTAATCAAGCCAGACCCTACAATGCACCTCAAAAAAAAAAAAAAAAAAAAAATCATGGCATTTGTAATCAATATGTATATGAGAGCAGAAAGAAAAAGTAGGGAACTTTGTGTGCGCGCACACTCGCGCAGGTTTATGACAAAGAGGCAGAAAAGACAGAATGTACACAGACGAACAGAAAAAACTGTCATAAAAATTCAGCTTGTTTCGCCTCACAAAAAAAAAAAAAAAACACAATGAAACCAAACTCCCGTCCAGTCTGCAGATCAGTAAGTCCTTCTCTCTGCACACATCTCTGGATTTATTGTGTGCTGAAAGCAGGAACTCTCAATCTCTTCTCAGCCTGGAGTCTTTGGTCTCATCTCCCCTCATCTCACTCTGAGCCTCCGCAGTGGATCCACGGATTCATGTGCTGTCTGAGTGATATTTCTCTCCACGCTTCTGGAGAAGTAGACTACATGTTGTTCTATCCTTCCTTTATTACACAATGCTTTATAGAGTTGGAAACCCCCCTCAGTGACTGATAAGGAACAAATCTCTAGAAACTTATGAGACTGAGTCAAATATGTGGCCTCTGAATCCTTACGAGACAAACATTGTGTTTGGGACGTTACAGAATCCTCTAGAGTGTTGTAAAAATAATTCGATTTATTAGATAGTTTGAGCTATGAACGCAAGAATCAACACCCTAGGTGAGAAAGATTAAGTTGGCATGAAATGGAAGTAGTGATCTTCTTTTCTTCCCTATTGTGACGAAGCTTGTTTCCAAAAGATAATTGCGACTTTTTATCTCACAGTTGAGAGTTTACATCTTGCAATTTTGACTTTATTTCTCAGAATTGCCAGATATAAAGTCAGAATTGCTAGCCTGGCATGCCAGACCTACATCAAGATGTTAGGTCTGGGAACTCTCCATTGACATAGGGGAGCGCGGGGCACAACCTAACGGGGTTAAATGTAACACGGACCTTTTACATAGTTAGTCAGGATCAAGCCGGTTGTGTTTCCGCTCTTTTTCTCTCGCTGCCAGAAGACGGTCTCCCGCGAATTTGTGGAAAGTTTTGATAATATTTCGTGAAGATACTGGACAAAGAGTGTTTTGACACCATGCAAGTAAATTTTTTCATCATAGGTTTTTTTCGGTTTCTGAGTTGGGTGTGTACGTTTTCAAATCTAACTTTATATTGCCTTAATCACTGTCTTGTTTGCTAAAACATAGCACCGTTTTGAAACATGTCAGCAACCCCTAGCAACTGTTAGCTAGGCTTAAAATATGTTTTACACAGCGGGGTTAGTTGTAGCACAGTGTTACAACTAAGCCGCCAAGTGTACAATGATAATCAAATGAAAACAGGGAGCCACACAACTTTTCAGGTTTGAGTATTTATTTATATATTTAACGTTGTTGGACTTTTACAAACAATGTTGGAATTTAAAATGTTTAAAATGTATTTTACCATGCATTGATCACTTGTTTATTTATAAAAAATATGGCCTGTTTTTAATGCAATAAACCCTTTAAATTTTGATTTTAAGCTCATTTGTATTATTATTACTGTTATTATAATCAATAATAATAATTTTACATGCAACTGCCACACACAAATCTAATTCAATTGCAATTACAATTTGATTATTTATTTATTTCAAAACTGTGCTGCCCTTTTCTATGTCTCTATCATAGACTGTAAGGTCTCTATCCATGATATTGATCCATAATAGAAGGATGATTGGATGAGGGATGGATGTATGGATATCTATCTATACAGATGCACAAACAATATCAAACTATACAAATAAAATAGTACTGAATTATGTGTGTTACACACAAGTGTTACAACTAACCCCTCTGTCTGTTACAATTAACCCCGCATATGGGGTAAGTTGTAACATTTGCACTTCTGTCACTTTCAGTGCAACAGTACGAAAATGGTAGGTCCTAGAAAAAAACTTTAAGTGTTCATTTGTAGCAGAGATGTGTATGTTGCTTGTGTAAAAAAAAGTTGAATCTAACTTAATTATTTTTTTAATAATTGAGCCAAAACCAAAATGCGTTAGGTTGTGCCCCGCTCTCCCCTACCTCAATCCGAGGGGCGGGATAAACGGTTACCTTTCAAAATCCCTCTGCACGCAATAGGATAGCGCTACAACCAACCAGAGCAACGAACGGTTGTGGATGAGTGAGTCCCATGCGTTTTTCCACCAGCGGAGCTAATTGATATATTAAACTTTTGCCGTATCAGGTCGGTAAAACTCCGAACACATCTTCCTTTTTTAAGAATGACTTAAGTGACGTTCTCTTAACTCCAAGTCCTCCAGAGTCGCGGCCAAAGCCGATTCGAAAGACCGCTGCATCTTCATTGTTTTCAAGTAGCAGGGAAATCACCAATGGAAATCACGCGGAACGTCATGAACTGTGCCGTCATTGTGTTAAGCCCGCCCGCCGACTCTTTACACGATGTGATTGGCCTGACCAGTTTTTGGTTTTTACAGCTCAAAAGTCTATGGAGAGTTAGTCTCAGCCTCAGACGTCACGCCCACGGAACGTTGGCTAAACGTCTGATGCATATGGTACACTTAACTGGAAACACTTCAGGAATGTCGAAGTCGTCATCTGATTGGTTGAATTGTATCGGATTTCCGGGGGGCGCGAGTGTCGCGTTTATTTTCGGTCCCCCGGGAAACAAAGCGCAGACGTGTGATTGCGGAAGAAAAACTGTTGTGTTTACATGAGTGACAATGAGCATTTATCAAGATCAGCTAAACGTAGGATTCTCAAAAGTATGCGAGGTTCACGGCGTAGACTCTTTAAGAGATGTCCAGGAGTTTTGTTTGAGGCACTTAGTGGAGACAAAAAGAGATATTTTAGCCTGTTTGCCGACGGGATTTGGGAATAGTATTATTTTCCAAGCCTGGCCGACCCTTTGTCAGCATTTATAAGGATTCCCAGCAGATCCAACTTTACTAGTTGTGTGTCCCCTCATATCTATTACATAGCTGTCAACCCTCCCGTTTTTTCCGGGTTTCTCACGTATTTAAGCTCTTTTCCCGCTGTCTTCCCGTTTTATTATTTTCCCGTAAAATATCCCGTATTTTTACGCTCTGATTGTGTGAGACGTACATGCTCGGGCAGATTCGGCTTGAAGTCGTTCATCGTCGGATGCGGCGCCGCGCGCGCTGTTACAAAAAAAGCTGTGCACACAGCCAAGCGAAATGGGGTCTTGCCGGTCTTGCGCACCCAACGCGCATCCAACTCGTGCGGACGCGTCAAGTATAAACAATTATACTCCGTGTCAGCGCGCGCTTTGATCGGTAAAGGAGCACTGACCTCTCCCTAATCATCTCCAGCAGCCCCCGAAGCACCACGTACCGTTTCCCTCGTAAGCTGATATTAGTATTTAAACATTCTCTGATAAAAAATGTTTAAAAAATGACACACTTTCTCTCATACACACACACACACTGTCTCTTTCTCTCTCACTCATTTGTAGTTATAAACTCTTTAGTTTTTTAATGATTAGTGCTTTATTTTTAAAGTTTGTGGTGGGTAAGAATCTTGTAAAAAAAAATCCCTTATTTTGGGGATGGATTCCGGGAAATCTCCCTTATATTCACTGTTCAATGTTGACAGCTAGGATCTATTATGGAAGATCAAGTGAAGTACCTAACTGTGAAGGTAGGCCTATCAGCCGCGTTTGCGGGCAAACATGAAACAACAGACGCTGACATCGCAGCTGGCCGATTCAGTATTGTGTTCGGTTTTCTTCTCCTTCTTTGATTTTTTTATGCTGACTGACTTGTTGCACGCCGGTCTGTTGTTGTGGGGACATTTCCACGCCCCGAAACGTGACGCTGAACGAAACGAACTGTAATTGGTTGTTTGACATGTCGGTCAAACGGCCTTATGGGCGGGCCTTGGCCAAAGAAAGCTGCTATGAGTTCCAGACCTTCAGCCGTCAGTCTGAAGGTCTGGCTACGCGAGACTAATGGAGAGTTGCTAGACCACACTGGCTGCGAAATAATTTTCGCTGCCGCTAGGGTGCGTCTAGATTTCTAGGCTACAGAATTGCGTGATATAAACTCAAAATTGCGAGATATAAATTTGCAATTGTGAGAAATTCTGACTTTATTTCTAGCAATTGCGAGTTTATATCTCGCAATTCTGACATCGTTTCTCAGATTTGTGAGATATCAACCCCGCAAATGCAAGTTATAAAGTCCAATTCTAAGAAAAAAAGACTTCGTTCCTCAGAATTGTGAGATAAAAAGTCTGAATTACCTTTTTTATTTTGTATTCTGTGGCGGAAACAAGCTTATATATATCTGGATGAAATGGCTTCTCGAAGAAGAAAAAATGTAGGGCAGGAATCGATTTTGTCCATCGGGAATCTATTGGATGGTTGTGGATTGCTATTGGTCGATCTAAATGTGAGTGACAGGTAAGCACGTCATCAGAGAAGAGAAGTCACTGCACGGGAAGTTATTTTAACAAACCAGATTAAACAATTCATCATTATTTTCACACACACACGCACACACAAAACGCATTCAAAGTTTGTTGAAACATTTTGAATCCTCAAGCAAACAAATACATGAAAACAACATGTCTTTCTCGTCTGCCGAAATCCTTAAAACCCCTCCCGTTCTCAACCAGCAGTCTCATCCAGAACAGGTTTAACTGCACCTACCTTCTCTTCCTTATTTATTTGTGTGCAATCTGTGAGCTATGAGAAAGATTCAACCCTGAGTGCAGCTGAGCAGTTCACCCTAAAGAAAGAGAGAAGCAGGTGAGCATCCTAAAACATATCAGGTAAGTGCACTAAAAGATGAAATATTAATGTGTTCAAATGATTAGATATAAACAGTACTGATTCAAAACCTCTGTGATATCTTATTCTTATAGCTTATTCTTTTCAATGACCTGCAGACCTATGAAATCATTGCTCATTTAACTCGAAGCTGATCATGGGCGCTTCACAGAGCAAGGATAAGATGCATTGCACCAGATACCTGAACGGCAAAGGTCCTCCACCGCTGGGTGAGACAGGTGAGGTTTATTTGAGGGACAAATATTACCCACAAATAAATATCTAGATGTTTTTCCGCTTTTAAGAATGCATGAATGCTATTGCATTAGATAATTAAATATGAATAACACTTTACAATAAGGTTTCATTTGTTAACATTAGATAACTACGTTAGTTAATATAAACTAACAATTAACAATACTTTTAATGCATGTATTAATCTAGTTCACAACAGCTAGTATATTCCTAAAATTACCACATTATTTAATGGACCTAAACTAACATGAAGTAACAGTTTTATTTTTATTAACTAACATTATCAAAGTGATTAATAAATACTGTAACAAATGTTTATTGTTAATATTAGTTCATGCATTAACTAACGTTAATGGGACCTTATACAAGCTCACTTTTCAATCAAATTATTTCACACAATTATTTTTTTGTAGGTTTCAAATGATTAAAAAAATCGATATATTGTTCAAAATTAAGATTTTTTTGTGTAATGTGAAACATTAGCGCAACCTGCTCATTCAGTAGTTAATGTAATACACTAATACCTGGATATGACACCTGACATCATACATCCACAATTAAAAGTAGCTCAGGAAAGTCAATTTAGTTCTGAGAAAAGCTCATGCAGTATGTGTTTGCAGATGCCATTTGTATTCTAATGCAACACCATTAATGCGTGTATGTTATATTTTATGACAATTCAAGCAGAAACTCAAAGATCAAAAAACCACAAAAAGAATAATCTGATAAAAGAAGGAAGCCAGCCAGATGGAGGGGAGATGAATTGTAACATCGAAAGACGGAGTTTGCCGGGACATCCTGACTGTGACACCATTAAAATCACCTTTCACTTTTATGAAGGAATCCAGTCGGTGAGCTCATGATCATGATGAGTTCTTCTCATAGTTTTTTTTACAGTATCACTTTGACAGTGTTTAAATAACAAAGCCAATTGACACACCTTTCAGTGTATCACTGAGAACTCTAAAACATCTCAGCTATCTGTCTCTCTGCTCTGTGGAATCCTGTCCAGCCTGTTTCTCATACACTTACACAGAGCACATGCAGACACTGACAGATGTGTGCTCATACAGAACTGAAATCCCCTGTTATGATATATAGACGCAAGTGTTTATAAAGCGCTGTGCTTGAACTTTCATATAGTGTCCATCAGTTGTTGTTGTTTTTTTAATCAGAGTTGTTTTTGAATGCAAGTGATCAACTTTAGTATCTCGCCTTGCAGGATAAGCATCCGCACCCGGGTCATAGCTACAGGGGGAGTGAGTCTGTGGCCTACCTGCCTAAGAACACCACAGGGACCAAGATCCTCCGGCTACTGGAGCAGGCCTTCCAACACAAGCTGCTGTTCACTGTGGCGGCCGATCTCAGCGGTGAATACTGCGTGACGCCCGCAGATATACCCCTCAAGACTCGGGACAGCGAGGGATCTGGAAGGTATATAATAATGACAAAAGAATCCCAAATAATAGATCAGTGTTCACCACAGTTCTTCATAATTGCAGAGTTCGAATATATATATTCTTACTTCACTAAACAAACCAAAAAACTTTTTTTTTTTTTTTATTTACTTTCTATTCATTTGCAGTGTCTTTTCCCCCTACACACTATTTTTAAGCCTGAAAATAAATATTTTCAATTCAATTAAAATTGATTTATTTTCAGATTTTTTAAATTGTATTTTCTGTTAAGTGCTTTTGTTATATTTGTTAAGTTAATTTGATGATTTCGTCTTTAGAAGCTATTAGAAAAAATGAAAACCATAATAATATAAATAATAAAGGCATTATATATAGAAAGACAAAACATTTATTTATTTATTCAAATAAATAATTATTTTTTGAGTTTTTATTCAAAATGTTATCTTTATTTTATTTATTTACACAAATTTTTTTTTATCATATTTTGCCTTTAAAACCATAAGGAAATCATTATGTTAAACATTTAATTAACATCTTAGGATAACATACATTTTGTGCGATTTTATTTCTCTCGTGTTTTCTGTGTTGTTCATCTTTAATGTTGATTCGGTAACATTCTCTCTCCTTTTGTCTCAGCTTGGGCTATCCAGATCCAAATTATTTGAAATCAGTGAGGAAAAGTCTCAAGGTAAAAGGGATCAAATGAGAGGAAGTGGACTACTATGACTACAACAAAATTTCCAACCTCATCATGACCCTGATCTGCATGACGAGGATATGGATATGGATATGGATATGGATATGGATGTGGCATGATTACATGGAGTTTGACGTTTACAGCCAAATCAACAGAACATTGTCATGGCTGTTCAATTTGACATAGTTCATGAGGACCTTTATGCAAAGCCAGAAACTATATTGCATACGGGCACGCTGGCGACTTGTGTATTTTCTATAAAACAGAGTTCTAACATGAAGTAAGACAGTATAGTTCACAATTTAGTTCACTGCTAGCTATTGCTTATTTGCTTAAAGTGTTTTTAAATAATGAAAAATGTATATAACCCCTTTATGGATTTCTTTAAGTAATCAGTAAATGTTGTCACATTTTTCTTGTTCATATCAATTTTATTTTAGTATTATTTATATACTATTATTACAATTTTGAATTAGCGTTTACTTTTATTTTAGTTAACTTTTAGTCATTTTATTTGCTTTTGTCATTTTTATTCATTTTTTATGTTTCTATTTAGCTTTAATTTATTGTTATTTTGTTACTTCAAGTTTTAGTTTCAGTTAACAATCACAACAGATTCATATTCACGTGCATCTTTAAATTAATCGGACTCAAATATTGATTATAATTTAGTATAAATGAAAAAAGTTCAACATTAAAATTTTAAAGGTAGTGAGGTGAAGGTAGTCTGCCAGGTGAAGTCAACACATCCTCTGCAATATTTCCTCTGTGCCTGAAATGTGTCTTCACATTGCCGAGTGTGAACTTTCCCAGGCTGACGGTGGCCCTCTGTTCTCCTCAAACTGAATTACACACCAGGCTTCATACTCACAATAAAGAGTAATCGGATTGGCAGGCCCCATTAGAGAGGGCTCCGTCATCTCCAGGGGCGTTCTTAAACCACTTTCTTGTGGACGCTCCGCCAGGAGTCATCCGTCCCGACTGTCAGCTTCCACCACGACTCTGACAGCTATCAAATCTGTTCCTGCCCCATCCTCCTTCAATCTGCGCAGCTCTCTCATCCCCCTCTCTCTCTGTTCACAACCTGAAGAAGCCAGGCTCTGTCTGAATGTGTCACAAACCTGCTTAAGACTAAACCTGCCCTTAAATTATGACCAAAATCTTTCTATATCTTAGAGCTTTTCCCACTTGAAATAGTTAACCTTGAACCATGCTAAACCCCAGGTAAAATGGAATCCTGGCTTATCTTGCTTCAAGTTTCACATTACTCACAATTTACCAGGGGTTAACAATTAATCATATTCATAAGCTGCTGTTTCACACTGTCGCCTACATTCTTAAACCCTGGGTTAACGTTCTTATTTGAATGTGTGGTGTCAGTGTCAATGGTTGGATTAACATAGCATGCGACCTGTTCACATAAAGGCTCTTGTGCTTCCACGTTTTATATATTGTCAACTGTTTTATTAAGTTTATACTAGTCTCTTTACTCCAATTGTCGCATTTCTGTCACTGACATTTTTCCCCTTAAATGCTGAAACAGCCTACAGTTTATACAAAGCGTGGTTTTTCTGTGACTTTTGTTTTCTGTGTGTGAATATAAGGGATGCGATTGGCTGTCGCCTGCTAAGCAATTTAGTCCTAACATTCTAACACTGCAACGTTTGACAGTCAACACGATTGGAACCGTAATGCAAAAGCGGAGCAGGGTTTATAACCCTGGGTAAAAAGCAGTGTTAACCCCGCTTCTAAATTACAAGTTGTGAAGGAAGTGAAACGTTCCTTTACCAGGGTTAAAAGTGGGGTTTAGAATGATGATAACCCGGGGTTAAGCGTGGGGTTAACAGCGCAAAAGCAGAGCAGGGTTTACAACCCTGGGTAGAAAGCGGTGTTAACCCCGCTTCTAAATTAAAAGTGTGAAACATTCCTTTACCCGGGGTTAAAAGTGGGGTTAAGAACAATGATAACCCAGGGGGTTAAGCGTGGGGTTACCAGGGCAAAACCGTAGCAGGGTAATAACCACGGGTAAAAAGCGGTGCTGACCCCGCTTCTAAATTACAAGTGTGAAACATCCCTTTACCTGGCGTTAAAAGTGGGGTTTAGAACGATGATAACCCAGGGTTAAGTGTGGGGTTAACAGCGCAAAAGCAGAGCAAGGTTTATAACCCCAGGTAAAAAGCAGTGCTAACCCAGCTTCTTAAATCACAAGTGTGAAACTTTCCTTTACCCAGGGTTAAAAGTGGGGTTTAGAATGATGATAACCCGGGGTTAAGCGCGGGGTTAACAGAGCAAAAGCGGAGCAGGGTTTATAACCCCAGGTAAAAAGCGGTGCTAACCTCGCATCTACATTACAAGTGTGAAACATTCCTAAAAGTGGGGATTGGAACGAGGATAACCCGGGGTTAAGAGCAGTCTGAAAATCCCGAGTTGAAATCATTTGTTAGTAATGACTCCTTCCTCTCCTCCTCGTTATGCAAAACAAAGTTCAAATTGTCATTAGAAATCATTGTCGTCCTTCCCATGAGATGAGTGTTTGTGGTGTTTTTCTATGTATTCCCCACTGGGGGGCTGAGTGTTGGTCTGTGCACCGGCAGCTTGTGATGAATGAGCTGAGGGTGTGTTTTCATTAGGCTGTTTAATTTGGAGCACAATTAGACTTCATCCTCTTTTAGAAGACAAAGCAGATTCTAAAGTTGTTAATTAAAAGGCAGAGTCGCAGACAGTGAAGATGGATGTGAACGCAGGGAATCCTCTCCAACAACAACAGTGCACTCCAAAGTCAATTCTTCCTTGTCTAACTAGTTGCTCTCCTCTCCTCAAGAAAAACTAGTAATCACTACCTAGTTTCTCATTTTGTTTCCTCTGTTCTGATTTTAATTTACTCTCTTTTCATCTAATCTCATCTCTACTGCATGCTCTCCTCTCATTTGCCTTTCTCAGCTCTTGTTATCTCATATATCCCCGCGTCTCATTTCGTTTTGTCTCGTCTCGTCTCATTTAGTTTAGTCTTGAGCTCTTTTTGTGCTCTGCTCTCCTCGTTTTGCCTTACCTCATTTTCTCTTCTCGTCCAAAAATAGTGTTTACTAGTTCCTCGTTTTGTCTAATTTGCTCAATACTCTCTTCTCATCTTGTCTCCTCTGTTCTGTTTTCTGTTCTGATCTCTTATTATCGTCTTGTCTCATTTCATCTCATTATCTTATCTCCATTCCATATGTTCTTGTCTTGTTCCGTCTCATCTCCTTTTATCTGTTCTCTTCTTATCTCATCTCATCTTATCTCAAATCCTCTCCACTGTTCTGCTTTTGTCTCCTCATGCCTCTTTTCATTTCATATCCTTTCTTTTCATCTCATCTCATTTTCCTGCTCTCTTTTGTATCTACTTTCATCTCATCTCCTATCCTCTCATCTTATTCCATTGAATCTTGTCTCCTTTCTCCTCATCTCATTCTGTCTCCACTCCTTTTTGTGCTGTTCTCATTTAGCCTCAACTCTCCTCTGTTCTCTCTACATTGTCTCTCTTCACTTCTTCTCTCCTTTTTTCATCCCATGTTCTCCCTTTTCAGTTTCTTTGCTCTGATCCCATCTTGTCTCTTTTCATCTAATTTTATCTCACCTCATCTTTTCTCATGTTGTTTAATCTCATCGTCTATTCTCTTTTCTCATCTCTTATATTCGTCTTCGCTTGTCTCATCTCACCTGTTCTACTCCTGTTTTGTCTTGTCTCGTCTCACCTGCTCTCGCCTCGTCTCATTTCTTATCTCACCTAGTCTCATATCTCATTTCTTATCTCACCTAGTCTCATATCTCATTTCTTATCTCAACTTCTCTTGTCTCGTCTCACCTGCCCGTCTCGTCTAATTTCTTATCTCACCTGCTCTCGTCTCATTTCATCTCTTACCTCACCTGCTCAACTCATCTCATTTCGTCTCACCTGCTCTTGTCTTGTCTCACCTGCTCTCGTCTCGTCTCATCTCTTTTCGTCTCATCTCACCTGCTCTTGACTCGTCTCGTTTCACTAGCTCTCATCTCATTTCTTATCTCACCTGCACTCATCTCATCTCGTCTCATCTCTTTTCGTCTCATCTCATCTGTTCTCGACTCGTCTCGTTTCACTAGCTCTCATCTCATTTCTTCTCACCTGCTCTCGTCTCGTCTCATCTCTTTTCGTCTCATCTCATCTGTTCTCGACTCGTCTCGTTTCACTAGCTCTCATCTCATTTCTTCTCACCTGCTCTCATCTCGTCTCATCTCTTTTCGTCTCATCTCATCTGTTCTCGACTCGTCTCGTTTCACTAGCTCTCATCTCATTTCTTCTCACCTGCTCTCATCTCGTCTCATCTCTTTTCGTCTCATCTCACCTGCTCTCGACTCGTCTCGTTTCACTAGCTCTCATCTCATTTCTTATCTCACCTGCTCTCATCTCATCTCACCTGCTCTCAACTCGTCTCGTTTCACTAGTCTCGTTTGAGATAAACAGATCAATGGTGTGGTCAGAAGTTGCTTTTATCAGTTAAAGAATATTGCGAAAATTAAGGCATTTCTATCACCCAGAGACATGGAGTCTGTGATACATGCTTTTATTTCATCGAGATTAGACTATTGCAATGTACTATACTTGGGTGTCTCACAGTCCCTTCTGTCACGTCTTCAACTGGTCCAAAATGCTGCTGCTAGATTGCTAACAGGAACAAGGAAAAGACAACATATTTCGCCAGTATTGTTCTCTCTCCATTGGCTTCCAGTTAAACATCGTATTGAGTTCAAAACACTGTTGTTTGTTTATAAGGGATTGCATGGACTGCGTCCTTCATACATCTCTGATCTCCTTTTAGCCCACTATAATGTTTTTAGAAATCTCAGGTCTACCAGTAGTCTACAGCTGACTGTCCCGAGGACACGTCTAAAGTTAAAAGGAGATCGTGCCTTTTCAGTGGCCGCTCCACAGCTTTGGAACAATCTGCCATCTTATATAAAGACTGCACCTACATACATTGATTTTAAATCGTTGCTTAAAACCCACTTATTTACTGCTGCTTATGGTCACAAGCGGCTGTAGTGGCATTGTATTGTGCATTGTTTATCTGTTGTTTTCTGTTTTTATGGATACCTGTTTACATTTGTACAGCACTTTAGCCAACAGCTGTTGTTTTTAAATGTGCTCTATAAATAAATATGACTGACTGACTGACTGACTAGCTCTCATCTCATTTCTTATCTCACCTGCTCTCAACTCGTCTCGTCTCACCTGCTCTCGTCTCGTCTCACCTGCTCTCGACTCGTCTCATCTACTTTCT